AATTGTGCCTCTTTCTCAGTGTTAGGTGTTGCGAGGTGCAATGGCACGTGCTTTACTACACAGGGTATGTCTTGGCAGCCCTCAGAGAACAGGACCTCTATAAAGGTCACTGCTTTGGCAGGCTCTGAGTCTTTGCATTTCCCTTTCTTTCTTTCTTTCTTTCTTTTCCTTCCTTCCTTCCTTATCTCCCACCATATGGAATACATACCAGAGTACTCTCCACCCTCTCACCGTCAGGTCCAATTAGCAAGATGTCATCAACGTTGTGGACAAATGGGATGTTCTGCCCAATGTCACGATGCCGAGGGTCCCTTTGGACTGTGCCGTGAAAGAGGGAGAGTTAGTTTCTCTCTGGACAAAGCATGAACATGCACTGCAGTCCACCCTAGGTGAAGAGCTGCTTCTTTGTTACCGGATCCACAGCTGCATAGAAATGACCAAAGGCTGCCTGATTCTGTTCTAGGAAAAACATGCATCCCTCACAGCAGCCGTGACGGGACTTAGCGCTGGGTGAAGTCTGAGGCCCTCCACCACCAACCACCCTTGGTCCGCTCAGTTTTTGCAGGGGCCAGGCTGGTGTATTAAGCAGGGGTGCGATGGGCCACCACCACTCCCTCCCTTAAGTCTTTGAGGGCGGCACTAACCTCTGCTATTCCACCCGACCGCAGGGTTGTTTTTGATTTACCATACACTGGGTTATATGAAAGTTATATTGTTTTTTGTTTTTTTGTTCATGCCAGGCAGCTTGCAGGATTTTAGATCCCCGACCAGGGCTTGAACCTGCACCCTGGGCAGTGAAAGCACAGAGTCCTAACCACTGAACCTCCAGGGAATTCCCTGGAAAGTTATATTGTTAAGTATACAGATTCTGCTTCCTTTCTTTAAAGACTGTGTAACTATGTTTTGGAAGTTGATTAAATGACTTTGTGGTTCAGCTTTGTGGTTCTTTTCAAGGCTTAAAAAAAAAATCTGCTTTTGGGTACATCCTAGGGTTAGTTCGGTCATACTGTGAAGGGTAGGTCTGCTTGTGATAAATCCTCTCAGGTTTCCTTCACCTGAGATTGTCTTTATGTCCCCTTCATTCCTGAAGGATAGTTTCACAATGCATAGCATTGGGGTTGACAGTTCTTTTCTTACAGCACTTGAAACTGTTGTGCCCCTGCCTTCTGATAAGTCCAAGGCCAGTGAGTGGCGGGTCCCCTGCACAGTGAGGACGCGTTTCTGTCTCGCTGCATTCGAGGAACTTCCTGTCTTTCTGGATCGTGATGCGTCTTGGCATATGGATTTCTTGGGGCTCATCCTGTTGGGGGTTCACTGAGTTTCATGAATGCATAGGCTCATGGCTTCTGCAAAGTTTGGGGAAATTTCAGCCATTATTTCTTGAACAGTTTTCCAGTCTTATCCTCTTGCTCCTCTGCTTTTAGGATTCAGATCCCAGGGATGTGAGGTCGTTGAGAGCCCGTTCTCATGCTTTTCCAGAATATGTGCTCACTGGTGTTCAGACTGAGTAATTTTTTTTTTAAGATGTTGGGGGTAGGAGTTTATTAATTAATTAATTTATTTTTGCTGTGTTCGGTCTTCGTTTCTGTGCGAGGGCTTTCTCTAGTTGTGGCAAGCGGGGGCCACTCTTCATCGCGGTGCGGGGGCCTCTCACTATCGCGGCCTCTCTTGCTGCGGAGCACAAGCTCCAGACGCGCAGGCTCAGTAGTTGTGGCTCACGGGCCTAGTTGCTCCGCGGCATGTGGGATCCTCCCAGACCAGGGCTCGAACCCGTGTCCCCTGCATTAACAGGCAGATTCTCAACCACTGCGCCACCAGGGAAGCCCCAGACTGAGTAATTTTTATCCTCGTATCTTTACATCATTTCCTCTGTTGCCTCCATTCTTTTGTTGGGTCTGTCCATCCAGGGAGCCTTTTATTTTAATTATTGTATCTTTCAGATCTGAAATATCCATTGCGTTCTTTTTTAAAAATTTTATTTGTTTTATTTTTGGCTACGTTGGGTCTTTGTTGCTGCGTGCAGCCTTTCTCTGGTTGCGGCGAACGGGGGCTACTCTTCGTTGCGGTGCGCGGGCTTCTCATTGCAGTGACTTCTCTTGTTGTGGAGCACGGGCTCTAGGCATGCAGGCTTCAGTAGTTGTGGCTTGCGGGCTGTAGAGTGCAGGGTCAGTAGTTGTGGCTCAGGGGCTTAGTTGCTCTAAGGCATGTGGGATCTTCCCGGACCAGGGCTCAAACCCGTGTCCCCTGCCTTGGCAGGCGGATTTTTAACCACTGCACCACTAGGGAAGTCCTCCGTTGCGTTCTTCATGTCTTCTCTTTTTTTGCTGAGGCTTTCTAGTTTTTTAGATTTATTTTAAGCATGTGTGTAATTGCTCCTCAAAGCATTTTTATTATGGCTGTTTTAAAATCCTTGTCAGAAAATTCCAAAATCTGTATCATCTCAGCGTTAGCAGCTGTTAAGGATGGTTTTTTCTCACTCAAGACGAGATTTTCCTGGTTCCTGTTGTGACGAATGATTTTTCAAATTAGACCTGGTCATTTTGGATATTATGTTTTGAGAGTCTGGGTCTTATGTAAATCTTTGTTATAGAAGGACTTTTCTTACACATGGCTGGGGCACTGACTCATTACTGCCAGGTGGATGGGGCAGTCCAGGTACCCTACTCGGTCTCCTTTGACACTCACTGTGTCATTACTGGGGTCTTAGCAGTCTTAGTGTGTCTGCTGCCTTCTCTCTACCCTTCAGAGTACAGGCAGACTTTGGAGATATTGCAGGTTCAGTTCCAGACCACAGCAATAAAGCAAATATCACATTAAAGCGAGTCCCACAGTTTTTTGTTTTCCTAGTGCATATAAAAGTTATGTTTACACTATACTGTAGTCTGTTAAGTGTACAATAGCATTGGTCTAAAAACACGATGTACATACTTTAAAAAATAATGCTGTTGGGGACTTCCCTGGTGGCACAGTGGTTAAGAATCCACCTGCCAATGCAGGGGACATGGGTTGATTCCTGGTCTGGGAAGATCCCACATGCCGCGGAGCAACTAAGCCCGTGCACCACAACTACTGAGCTTGCGCTCTAGAGCCCGTGCACTGCAACTACTGAGCCCATGTGCTGCAACTACTGAAGCCCGTGCACCTAAAGCTCATGTTCCCCAACAAGAGAAGCCACTGCAATGAGAAGCCAGCGCACGGCAACAAAGAGTAGCCCTGCTCGCCACAACTAGAGAAAGCCCCACGCGCAGCAAGGAAGACCCACCACAGCCAAAAATCAATAAAATAATAATAATGCTGTTGGAAAAATGGCACTGATAGGCTTGCTTGATGTGGGTTGCCACAAACCTTTAATCTGTAAAAACAAAAACAAAACCAAAAACATCCCTGCAATATCTGGGAAGCACAATAAATGGAGGTATGCCTGTGTTCTTATGTTTGTTGTGTATGTAAAGTCCAGGAGTTTTACTGTGCTTTGTGGGGGGTTAGGGAGACATAATTCTATTTTCTCCTCCAAAACTGGAAGTCTGAAATGCAACTGACTTTTATATATTGTGATGATGTACCCAGTGATGTTAGATAAATTCTTTTCAAATTCGAATAATAGGTCCTTATTCTATTTTGGATTTTCCACTCACACAATTTTGTAATCTTGAGCAGTACAGTTTTATTCCATCCCTCAGTGCCTATCACTTTTTTTTTCTTTATTTAATTGGTTGGTCCTTCCAGGCCTACTGAATAGAAGGGTAATAGTGAACGTTCCTGGCTCAGTCGCAATTGCAGGCAGAAGGATTGCACGTTTTTACCTTTAAAAATGATTTCTATTGTAGATTTTAAAAGATGCTTTTACAAATAATAGGAAATTCCCTTTTATTCCTGAGTTTTTTCATTATAAATTGGTGATGTATTTTATCAAAAGCTTTGCATCTGTTGATATGATGATTTTTAAAATTTCTTCTTTTAATGTTTGAATTGTATTGATTGATTTCTGAGGATGAAACCATCCATACATTCCTTAAAAAAAAATACCTGCAAGTTCATGATATATTACTCATTTTATATAGCAATGAATCTCGTTTGTGAATATTTTGTTTAGGAAAACAAAAGACAGAAAAACAGAGCTTCCTGTGATTTTCCCATTTTGTAGTTTCTTTGTCAGGTTTTGGTCTCAATTTTTTTCTGTCCCGACAAAATGTGTTGGGGGGAGTATTCCTTTCCTCCCCTATTCTCTGCAGAAGCTTGTGTAAGTTTGGTATGTGTGTGTGTGTGTCTGTGTGTGTGTGTGTGTGTGTATTTCATAAGTTCATACGTGTTCAGAAGCATTCACCAGTGAAGCTTTCTGGACTCAGAGTTCACTTTTTGGGAAAATTTTAAATCACAGAGTCCACATATTTAATATATACAACAATCCAGATTTCCTATTTATCCTAATGTTCATCATTTTGGTAAATTATATTTTAGAGAATTTTTGTCCATTTCATCTACATTTTCTAATATAATGGCATAAATTGTTCATAAAATTCTTTATTTATATAAAGTCTGTAGGATCTGCCGTAGTGTCATGATAATGGTAAATCATGCCTTCTCTCTTTTTCCCTTGGTCATTTGCCTAGGGTTTATACGTGTGATTAATATTTTCAGGAATGAGGGTTTTGGCTTTATTGATTTTTCTCTACTTTTTGTTTGTCCTCATTAGTAGCTACTCTTGTCATTGTTATTTCCCTGTTTCTGCCTTCATTTGGAAACATTTGCTATTCTTTTTCAAAATCATTGGTAATTGAGAAGTCTGTCGCTTTTTTTCTAAAATGTAAGGATATTAGTTATCTTTGAGGGTAGAATCAGGTGACTGCCAAAGGGTCCCAGGGGCTCCTGGTGGTCTGTGTTGGGAGTCCAGGCTGTCTGATGGTCGTTAGGTGGTGTCCAGTGCGGGCAGGCAGCTCCTGTGACTTCCGGGGTCCGTGCAGTCTTCCTCCCTGGAGCGTGGGGTCTGGGTCTTTCCTGAGCTAGCGGACGGCGAGAGCAGCATACACGCTGGGCTCTTCTGGGGGCTCCCCTGACTGGGGGGCAGGGGGTGCAGTCTCCCGTCTGAAGGTCGAGTGGTTCAGCTGGGCATAGGTCACATCCTGGGGGGCTTCAGATGCGGCGGCCTGCGGGGGGGGAGAGGGAGGGTGTGGGGGTTGGGGTGGGGGAAGCCTGGGGGCCCGGACAGGATGGGACCTACCTGACTGTCCCTCTGCCCGTCCTCTTCCGCTTGTCTGTCCTTCATGTCCAGCAATCTCCCCGACAGGGAGGAAGGAGAGGTGGCCACCCCCCGCCTTAGTCTTGATCTTGAGTGGTTCACCTGGGCATATGTCCCCTCCTGGGGGTCTACATCCTGCCTGTTCTGCTGGAGGGAGAGAGTAGGACAGAAAGGGGACTTCCTGGATCCACTGTGATCTCCTTCCGTCAGCTTTCCACTGTGTTGCCAGAGTGATGCTTTAAAACCTTAGGTCAGGTCACTTTCCTGATGGAAACTCCAGGGGCCTCCTAACACCTTGGAGCCTCTGGATTCTTTCTACGGTTCTGATTTCTGATTCTTTCTGCGGTTCTGATTTCTGAATTATCTGGGAGATAATTAACACATTATCTCCCTTGCTCATTTGGCTCCAACCGCACGGCCATCTTCCTGCAAAAGCACGTCCCTGCCTCAGGACCTTTGCACTTGCTGCCCCCCTCCCCCCATGCACTCTGTCACCTTCTCTTGCTTTACTTTCCTTATGGACCTTGCAATCTCCCTTGCTCATTTGGCTCCAACCGCACGGCCATCTTCCTGCAAAAGCACGTCCCTGCCTCAGGACCTTTGCACTTGCTGCCCCCCTCCCCCCATGCACTCTGTCACCTTCTCTTGCTTTACTTTCCTTATCGGGACCTTGCATTCTCGGACGCTACCTGCTTCTTTACATATAGCCTCTCTCACCCACCAGGTGAGCTCCCTGCTGCACCTGAAGCACCTACAGGGAGCCGGGGGGATGCGCTCTCCTTGTGCACCACTTTTGGGTGAATGAAGGAAGGGGGGCCTGGGGACTTTCAGGTGGTTCACTTATTCACAGATCCTCTTGAGACGTGGGGCTTCTCTGCAACGCCAGAAGGTCAGACAGAGGACGAGGAGCCAGGAAAGGGGACCCCGAAGGAGGGGCCATGAGGTCACAAGGAAGCAGGAGGGGTGGAGTCACAGCAGGATGACCAAGGAAGCCCGCAAGGAGAGGTCAGTGTGGGACGCTGCTGGAGCTGGGATGTGAGGACAGAGACGTGTCCATTGGACTGAGTTTGGCAACAGGAAGGTCTCTGGTGGCCTGGACAGGAGCAGGGGTCTCACCGGATGGTCCAGCTGCACCCCGTCCTCAGGCTGTGGGTCCTTCACGGCAGCATCTGCTGGGGCGGAACAGGGTGTGTATCGCTTGGCGGGATCCCCTGAGATCCCTCAGGGCTGGAGCCCCCGCAGTGCATCCAGAAGGGGCCACTGAGACCCAGGGGTGAGGTGAAGTGTGGGGTTTCAGTCCGCACCCCCTGAGCCCACCCCTTCCCAGCCTTCCCCTCCCCCACTGCCTCCAGAACCCTGTGTCCCCCAGCCCGTCCTCTTCTGCTCACAGAGGGCCTGGTCCTGGGCGGCGGCGGCTGGGCAGGAGCTGGGGGGGAGGCGGGCGTGTTAGGGGGAGAATGAGGGGGAGCTGCGGGCGGGGCGGGCCTGGGGGTCTTCGGGGCGGGAGTTACCTGCTCTGCAGGCCTGTGTCCTTGGGCTCTGGGTCCGCAGCCCCTGCGGGAGGGTGGAAATCAGCCTCGCCCTGGGCTGGGGCAGATGACACAGGCTCGGCCCTGGGACTCTTACGACCCCCGCCCCTCACACGGGATTCAGGAGGAAAGAAGGAGACCTGACTCATACTTGTGTACACGTTTCAACACTTCATGAGACTGAAAAGGAGGGAAATACCTTAAATTGTCCGTGTCAGCTGACAGCACGTGTTTTCTTTCAGGAGTTTTGAGTTTCAGACTCTGGACAGTCTTCTTCTAGGCTGACCTCGCCCGTCTCTTAGGTCTCCCTTCGGCTGGTGCCCTAAGCCCACCGCCTCCAGGGGCCTGGGTCTCCCCGTTCCCTACTCACCCGACTTCCTGCGTCTGCTCTGAACCCGTTGTAGGACGAGGAGGACGAGGGGCAGCAGGACGAAGGCCACCGAGACCCCGATCAGGACGTTCAGGTACCATTTGAGACCTGGGGCACCAGTGACGTCATGAGTGAGCCCAAGATGCCATTTCATTGGGCGCCTACTGTGTGCAGGCTCGTGCTGGGGTCCGTGCGTTCATCTCCTCTAACCCACCCCACCCATTTTACAGATGAGGAAACTGAGGCAGAGCGAGGGGATTCACAAACCCCAGGTGACCCAGGCTGGAGGTGGCAGAGCTGGGATTGGAACCCAGGGCTGTGGGCTCCCTGAGCTGTCCTCCTGCCGCGCCCCGCCCAAGGTGGACACCAGCTTTGTGCTCTGGGGGCTTCTCATCTGCAGGGGCGCCTGTCCGAGGGTCTCATCTGGAGCCGAGGGTCCTTCCTTGTTACCCTGCCCTCCCCCACCACAGCAGGGACTGGGGGAGGGGCCGGCTGTGTGCGGTGGACTCTTCATCTTTCCCTCTGCCTCCCCGTACGATGCCACCATCACTGCGGCACTGGGGACAGGCCCCCATACAGTCACATCCTCAGGGGCCTCCCTGTGAGGCCTCCTCTCCTGGGGGGTCACAGCCGGAAGTCAGAACTGAAGGAAATCTAAGCTCCGGGCCACGATTCTCTGCTTTTACACTTGGAGAAACTGAGGCCCAGGCAGGGGAAGGGGGTCCAAGTCAGCGTCTCCAGAGGTGCCTGAACCAAGGCCATAACGGAGCCCTGCCCCCCTGGACCCAACACCATGTCCCACAGACCCTCACTCACCCGTCTGCGGGCCTGGCTCCATGGGGGGAAGGGCCCCAACTTCAGAGCCTCCTGGGGGTCAGGACAGAAGGTGAGGGTCGGGGGCTGCTTCTCTCCACGTCAGCCCACTGCTCCTCCCCCAAGATGGGCCCCGAGGGGTCATTCCCTCTCCATGACCCCCACCCTTCATCCACCAGCCTCAGAGTCCCTGGAGCCCTGGGGTCCTCCTGGCATCTCTACTTGACCCCCAGCCTGTCCTTGAGGATCTGAGGGCATTAGATCCTCCCAGAGACTCTGAAACTGCCTTGGGGTGGCCTGTGCTCCCTCTGCAGAGAGGCCTCAGTGACTCCCTAGTTGTTGAACTGGGGCCTGTCGGTGGGGGGCTGGGGCCCCCAGAGGGTCCTGGGAATGAGGACAGGAAGGGGGTGGGGCTGACCCTGGAGTCCCCACCTCATGAAACCTTTCCCTTACACCTGCCCTGTGGTCTCTAAAGTCGTCAGGTTCCAGATTCCAGGTGAGGTGAGAAGGTGTGGGGGGGGATGGGAGGGCCTCTGAGGGGCAGATGCCCCTCTGGGTGACCCTCCCTCACAGCCCCCTCACTCAACCCCAGCCAGAGTGCTCAGGAGACAGAGCCCTGAGCTGACTGAGTCAGAGAGGACAGGGTCAGGGTCCCTCACCTGAGACCGTGAGCTCCAGGGGGGCACTGGCGTGTGACAGCAGGTAGGGGTTACTGCTGAGTGAGCTGTAGCACCTGTAGGTCCCACTGTGGGCTGAGGTCACGGGACTCATGGAGAATTCGGCCTGGTAATGCCCACCTCGGTACTTTGATCTAAGACGCAGTGGGGGCCGGGCTGCCCCCTCCTTGGACAGAAGGAAAGTTTCCCTTGTGCTCCCTGACTGACACAGCAGGGTCACGTTCTCTCCTGAGGCCACCACGGGGCCTGGCTGCACCGAGAGGGAGGGCGTGTCAGGGAACCACCCTAAAGAGAGGAAGTGGGGTGAGGGGCTGCCCCCCCCCCCCCC